TGTTTCTAGCCTAATCTTTATTGCCCTGCTTACAGAAACTGCCTCTCCCATTAACCCTTACTACATTGTAACAGCTAAGATGAAGCACCCATCGACATGAGTAACATTGAGTTGACCACACCCACACAGTCACATGACCACCGAGTTCCTGGGGGGGGGGTTGAAAGATGGCCATCAAGCCATCTTTCTCCCAGAAACCTGAAGCTCAGGAACCATGACGAGGCAGGAATGGTTGCAACTGCAAAACTGGGCCATCCACAACTGAGTCATGCATTTAAGAAAAAAAGAAACTAGTTTTACTGTAATTGAGCCAGAACTAAACTGGCTGAGTTCTCTCTTACAGCTGACTAGATATCTAGAGCTGCGTTCAAACTGGTGCACTGTTCCCATGTGCCTAAGTCCAGGGCAACCCTGAATGGTAAAGCACGTGACAGAAGACACATAGTTTACATACGTTCATCCAGCATTAGGACAAATGCATGACGTTGGGGTTTGCACTGTGATATCATGATGTTCATTTCATCATTTTTGCATCCTTTCATACTTACGTATGTGTGGAAATGTCTTTAAGCGAACCAGGATTGCATAACCTAGATCTTCCTTTGTATCATACAATATTAATAGTTAGGGCTAGGAAGGACAGTCCGCTTAAACTTTGGTAAGTTACCTTGAGATGAAGAAAAGGAAGAACTCACAATATAGATCTGGAGCATGACAAAGTTACAATGGCACTGAAAAAATGACTTATGACCATTTTTCACACTTACGACCATTGCAGCATCCCCATGGTCATATGATCAAAATTCAGATGCTTGGCAACTGATTTATAATTATGACGATCATGATGATTGCAATGTCCTGGGATCATATGATCCCCTTTTGTGACTCTTCTGACAAGCAAAGTCAATGGGGAAGCCACATTCATTTAACAACTATGACACCAACTTAACAACTGCAATAATTCACTTAACAAATGCTTCACTTAGCAACAGAAATGTTGAGCTCAATTGTGGTCATAAATTGAAGACTACATGTATTGTCAAAATCACCTGGTAAGACATCTGAACTGATCGATCAAGGCTCCTCCTACAGGCCTTGAAGTATAATACAAATACTTCCACCCAACCCCTGAAAGCTTCTCACAGCCTTCTTTCAAATAAATGCATACAGATCTGTAACCTTAAATGTGCTTCTTCAAAAAACATAGCAGAGGAGAGGTAGCTGTTTTTTATATTTTATTAGCAATGGTTTGCAAACTTAGATAAGATTCTGAGCCAAACCTTGCTTTGTTTCACTCTCCCTCCCCTTTCTGACATATTGCCTTTCACAAGCCCGAAAACTAGGGGTGGGATTCTTTTTTTTTTTACTACCGGTTCTATGGGCGTGGCTTGGTGGGTATGGCTTGGTGGGGGGGTCATGTGACTGAGTGGGTATGGCCAACTCTACATGAGTAACATCGAGCAGATGGGCAGGTGGGTGGGGGGGTATGGCTTGGTGGGGGGGTCATGTGACTGAGTGGGCATGGCCAACTCTACATGAGTAACATCGAGCAGATGGGCGGGTGGGCGAGGTGAACGGCAACCACAGTGCCCAGGCAGGCATGAGCGGGCCAGCCAGAGGTTGTTACTGGTTCGGCAAACCAGGTCAAATTTTCCCTACTGGTTCGCTTGAACCGGTGCGAACTGGCTGAAATATCACTTCTGCAGAAGACGTTATCCAGGGACCAAGAGTTCTCTCTTTCACACAGATGGTAGGGTTTACACAAGCTTTTGGATAAAATATAAACTCAGAAATCTCCCTACAAAGCCCACCTCAATCTTGAATCAATTCAAATAACCTAAACACACAATATAACCCAACTTTACTTCTCATCTGTAAAAGGGAACTCTGCTTGCAAAAACCACTATTGGGACAATCATGAATTGTCGTGTTCTGCAAGAACACTCTTAAATCTGGATAGCTAGTTAAGAATAACGCTCAAAAAGCAGGTGGAAAAATCAGCCTAATTTTCTCGCATGACATCAAACTGTTTGCTTAATCAAAACCACATCAAGCCAAGAGATACAACAATCAAGTCACACTTTCAGGAAAGCTCAATGCAAAATGAGAAATTTCAAAGACACAGAAATATTTAGTACTAAATATGCTTTCAGATAATTAACCAAAGGAAACAAAAACAAATGTTTAGCTAAAATACTGATTTCCTGGAATAGAGGAAATCGCTAGAAGTCATGACAATGTTATAAGAATTTAATGGAAAGTGTCTGGCTGCCAATTTCTTCACAGTGGAACACAATTCTCCCCTTTTCATAGATTCTGACAAGCTGATTTCCCAGTAGGCGCTTTCTCTGTTTCTTATGTGTCTCATGCTGATGGAGAAGGAATCACCTCTTTTTAAAAACAGAAAAAGTTAAGGTGGAATTAGGTGTATCAGGTAGTTTTTCAACCAACAAATTCCAGTTAACATTTCACACTAGATAAAATTCAGTACACTAATTAAATCTCAGCTAAATGCCAAAGGAAGGAAAAATCCAGATGTGCAGAGAGACATGGCCTTGTAGGAAAATATTCAAAACCATTACAAAAACAACAAGGGCAGAAGCAAACTCTGGGAAAGAAGACAGTACTAAGAAGAGACACCAGCTGGATCTTCCCTGATTCAATTTATATGCTACTAAAACTCTCTTGTCAACTCTGAAGTGAACCTGGCTGAAACCATCTTGTGCTGCCTCATAGTTGCCACGAAGCCTGAGAGAGGGAAGGGAGGAGGGAAGTAGATACTTCAGCTAACAGTCAAAAGAAAATGTTTTCCTGTGGGAACTAAGGTCATCGTAACAGGTGGCTGGTGAAGGAGGAGAGGAGCCTGCCAGCTATGTTCATTGGACATTGTGACTGATGACACCAGGGATGGGGAAGTTTTACTTTTGTAATTAGGTGAAAACTGCAGGAACCTTTATAGTTGGTTTTCACCAGCTGTGCTGGTATGATGTATCCAATAAACATGTTATTTGAGGAATCTACCTGTCTCAGAGTTCTCCTTTCAATGAGTGTGTTACTCTGAATGCTGATACTCTCCTTGTCATGACCTTTCAGTAAGTGAAAACAGTGTATGATAGGGCAACAATTTTTTAACTAAGGTACCTCAAATGGGCTAACTTACAAAATGTGTCTAAAATCTAGGACCCATGACTCCTGAGATAATGAAATTTGGGGAGGTTGTGGCTGCTTCAGAGTTACTGACTGCTGCTCTGCTTCTGCTATGGTTATGTCATCTTCACTTACAATGTTCCATAACAGTTTCCCAGCCAGTCTAAGAAACCCTTGCTTCCTCCCCCACTCAGCAGCAGTGACTTACCTGA